ATTAACACAAAATAAATGCCAGATAAAAACCACTTAAAATGGAATAATAACATAATAATATTTAATATTTATAAAATATTCTTAAAATGAAAATTTTTTTTATTATTTGAGATTCATTAAGGGTACAAACAATTAGGTGATACTGATTGCATTTGTTAGGTAAAGTCCCTCTTATAATTGTGTCCTGCCCCCAAGAGGTGTGCCCTACATCATAACCCCCCATCTTCCTCTCTCCGCCCCTCTTCCCACTCCCTGATTCCCCTACCCCACCCCTTGTATTAGCTCATCTACTGCCTTCATATTAGAATTGAGTACATTGGATTCTTGCTTCTCTATTCTTGTTATACTTTATTAGGAAGAATATGTTCCACCTCCATTCAGTTAATAAAAAAAATGTAAAGTCTCCATCTTTGTAAATGGCTAAATAGTACTCCATGGTACACATATACCACAGCTTGTTAATCCATTCCTGGGTTGGTGGGCTCTTAAATTGTTTCCACATTTTGGTGATTGTAAATTGAGCTGTGATGAACAGTCTAGTGCAGATGTCCTTATGATAAAAGGATTTTTTTTCTTCTGGGTAGATGGCTAGTAATGGGATTGCAGTATCAAATGGGAGGTCTAATTTGATTTCTCTGAGGATTCTCCATACTTCTTAAATGAAATTTTAAAACATGCAAAACATTAACTATCCTATCTAATAGTTTTTGATGTTTGTTTAATGACAAATAGTCTAGACTAAAAAAAATTTTTTTCCTTTTTTTTTTGTTATTTCAAATTAATATGAGGGTATAACATGTTTAGGTTACATTGTTTTCATTTCTAAGATTTCTTCTTGAGCTTGAGATAAAGCTCAAGTTGTACTTGAGCCCTTTACCCTGCAGGTGGACTAAACACCCTCACATCATGGACATTAGGTGAGAACTGGTCCACCACCTTCCCTCCTTCTCTTTCCCCTCTACCGCCCCCTCCTCTTCATTAGATTATACTTGTGTTACTCTTTTGTTTGGGCATGTAGTTGTTAATATATTGGTTTTGTAATAATACTGAGTACCCTGAATACTTGCTTTTCCAGTCTTGTGATACTTTACTAAGAAGAATGTGTTTCAACACCATAAAGAAATTTTTCATTTTGCTTTGATGTTGGTCAAATCATTAAGAACTTCTGGAAGGATCACCAAGTTTAGCATCAGGATTTGGTGCATATAAGCTCATGTACTCTTTTAAATATGAACATATTTTATTTATTTTACTTTTTATTGACAAAGATAATTGTATATATTATTTATTTATGGGGCACAATGTTGTGTTTTGATATGTGTTTACATTGTGAAATGATTAACTCAAGCTAATTAACAAATTTATCACCTCAATACTATTTTTTTGTGATGAAAACACTTAAAAATCTCTTTTAGCAATTTTGAAATAAGCAATACATCATTATGACTATATACTATAATACTATAATACATAGTACTATAATACTATAGTATATAGTGACTGTAATACTCACCATTCTGTGCAATGTATCTCTAAAATGTACTCCTTTTATTTAACTGAAATTTTGTGCCCTTTGAACAATATCTCTTCTTTCCTCATCCACTTCCCTCGCCCAGCCTCTGGTAACCACCATTTTGCCCTATTTCTATGAGTTCAACTTTTTCAGATTCCACGTTTAAGTGATGCCACCCATTATTTGCCTTTCTGTGCCTGACTTATTTCACATAACATTCTCCAGGTTTGTCCATGTCATAAAGGACGCATCTCCTTCTTTTTTAAGGCTGAGTAGTATTCCATTGTGCATATACCCCCACATTTCCTTTGTCCATATATCCAGTAATAGACACCTAGGTGCATCTTAGTATTGTAAATAATGCTATAGTTAACAAAGGAGTACAGGTACATCTTCAGCATACTTATTTCAGTTCTTTTAGATATATGCCCTGAAGTGGGACAGAGTGTCACTATGTTGCCCTTGGTAGAGTGCCTTGGTGTCACAGCTGACAGCAACCTCAAACTCATAGGTTTAAGCAATTCTCTTGCCTCTGCTGCTCAAGTACCTGGGACTATAGTCACCTGCCATAACTCCTGGCTATTTTTGGTTGCAGTTGTCATTGTTGTTTAGCAGGCCCCAACTGGGCTCAAACCTGCCAGCTTTGGTGTAAGTGGCCAGAGCCGTAACCACTGAGCTATAGGCTCCAAGCCAACTTTCACCTTTTTGATAACAGTCATTCTAACAGGTGTGAGATGACATTTGATCATGGTTTTAATTTGTAGTTCCCTGATGATTAGCGATGATAAGCATTTTCTCATATACCTGTTGGCATTTGTATGTCTTCTTTCAAAAACTGTGTATTTAGGTAGGTCCCTTGCCCATTTTTAAATTAGGTTCTTTGTTTCCTTGCTACTGAGTTGTTTAAGTTCCTTATATATTTTGGGTATTAACTCTTATCAGATGCATGGCTTGCAACTATTTTCTGCCAATCTGTGGGTTGTCCTCTTCACTCTGTTAAGGGGTTTCCTCTGCTGTGCAGAAGCTTTTGAGTTTGGGGCAGTCTCATTTGTTTCTTTTTGCTTTTTCTTGCCTGTGCTTTTGGAGTCATACCCCTCAAAAATCTCTGCCCAGGCCAATGTCCTGAAGCAATTCTCTTACGTTTTCTTCTAGTAGTTTTATAGTTTTGAGTTTTATGTTTAAGTCTTTTTTTTTTTTTTCCTGAGACAGAGTCCCACTCCCACACTGCCACCCTGGGTAGAGTGCCATGGCATCACCATAGCTCACAGCAACCTCACTCTCTTGAACTCAAGTGATCCTCTTGCTTAAGCTTCCCATGTAGCTGGGACTACAGGTGCCTGCCACAATGCCCATATAATTTTTTTTATTTTTTAATAGAGATGGTGTCTCACTCTTGCTCAGGCTGGTCTCAAACTCCTGATCTCAAGGGATCCACCCACCTTGGCCTCACACAGTGCTAGGATTATAGGCAAGAGCAACCTTGCCTGGCCTATGTTAAGTCTTTAATTCATTTTGAGTTGATTTTCATATATGGTGTGAGATAAGGATCCAATTTCATTCTTCTGCACATGGATATCCAGTTTTCCCAGAATCATTTATTGAAGAGATTATCCTTTCTCCAATATGTGTTAAAATTAATTGACCTTAAATGCCTGGGTTTAACTCCGGGCTCTCTGTTTTTTCTATCAGTTAATGTGTCTGTTTTTATGCCATCACCATTCTGTTTTGATTAATATAGGTATGTAATAGATTTTGAAGTCAGGAATAAATACAAAAACATTTTACTTGTTTCCTTTGATTTTGACTTGGCCATTAAGATCTATATTTTTACTAATTCATATTTAAATCAGTTTCTGGTTTCATGACGGAGTGTTATACAACTGACATTCACATTTTCTTCTCTTTGCATTTCTTCTGTTAAATTCCTCACAAATAACAAATTATAACTTACATAATATAGGAAAATATTCAAACGCTAATAAATGCCAGCAAATATTATTTGGTGTATCCAAGTAATGTGACATTCAGATCTCCTAGAAAGCTTGACAAGTCTACAAAACTCACAGGTGGAAATTGTAATCACAGGCCTAATTTCAGATTGAAGGACTTCATATACTTCCAGAATTTCTTATTTCTTAGATCACTACTAATAGGATTTGTATAACATATGCTATGTATATAAACCTGTTAATACTTCTTTTTGAGAGAATGACTCACCATTAGCAGCAGACACACATCTGCAGCATGGCAAGAGCTACCAGCAAGGCTGCCTGATTAGATTTCAACCACTTTTCTCCTACTTGTTCCCGTCTTGGTTCCTAGAAATGCCCCCCTTCCCCTTGACTCTGACATCAGCATTTTCTGTCTTGTTTTCCACTATGCCTGTGGAATCATTTGAACTAGTGGTAGATCTATGTTGATTATCAATCTTTATTTCTCAAAGGAGAATTAGAATACTTTTCTCCATTTCCCAATTTTTCTTAAAATTCAGGTAAACATCTTTTTTTTTCCTGAGAAATGCTCGGAATTCCAATTGAGGTCATTGTCCATTGACAATGACCATGGACCATGTCCAGGTAGGGAGAATTTTTCTTTTTGCAGGAAAAGCAATGTATATCGGGGCTATTCCACATGCTACCTTAAGGTCACCCCTAAAACACGGGGAAGAATGCACTCAAGTAAAGGAGGAATCACATAAATGCCTCTAAATACGCAAAACCACTAGCAAATGCCCTTGGTTGATTTGAAGAGACACGGAAAAGTAGGAGGAAAACATGAAGTAAATCAAAATGCTTTTTTTCACAAGTACTTTTGGACTTCAGCTTTCCACAGGGCCTAGATATCAGAAATGAATGTTAATCTGGGATTTAATGAGTCATTTCCTTACCCTACCCCCAATGCAAGTACTTAGTGCATTATATGGACCAGTTATCATATAAAATATTCTCATATGTGTTACCTGACTTAAGAGAGAAATAGAAATAGTCCAGAACATTTTATAAGCACCTATAATGTGTCAGATACCATACTACATGTTTCAAATGCATTTTCTCAAATCTTAAAATAATTCTGTAAAACTAGTCTTACTAATTTCATTCCATGGATTCAGAAAAATTAAGGCTTAAAACCATAACTTTGTAACAGCTACATTGAGAGATACAGTCCAAAATTTAACCTAAGTCCAGCTTCAAAAACCCGATGCTGCAAATCATAAAATGATAGCCAGTTACAAGATCTGGTATCTGTCTTGCCTGTGTCCACTCCTCAGTCAGGACGGAGGGCTGGCACCGGCAGCCTGGCTGCTCCATGAGGATTAACCTTGGATTCCCCAGGGAAATAAGACCTCCTGTGCGCATTTAAATAACAACAGGATTGTTTCCTACCCTTATTTGAAAGAAACATACAGTAAACTTGGAAGCAGAATATATATTTTGGGGAAAGCATTTAAAATGAACATTCTAAACATAGTAAAAAAGATCTTTCTTACCTTTAAATATTTCACCAGCTTCTGAATTTGCCAGTATTCCGATGGCAAATCTGCATTTGCTTCCTGACGATGGTCAGTGGGTTCTTCATCTTCCTCAGTGTCAGAGGAGCTTTCACTAATAATTGCCTCGATCTTTTCAACACTTTTGCTAAGAATAAAAGCAACAACAATAAATACATGCATATACACTATAACAAGGAGATGGTTATACGATAGTATTTCAGCAACATGGGCTTAAGCAATGGATAAAATTACCAACGCCTTCTTAGTTCTTGAAGTTCTCTGTTAAGATCTACATGAGATGAATAAACCCATGTCTCTATAGCAGGTACAATTCCATATTATTGGTCTGGGTGCCATTTGTCCCCATTATCACTCTGAAACTCTCTAATTAAAGTGGCTGACTTCCTCCAGACATGCCACTTGTGTTGCCAAATGCCCATTTTTAATTTTCAGACTCACTCTTCCAAATAGAGTCACGAGGGTCAAACACCCCTTTTTGAAAATCGGGCAAGACGTTTCCTAGTTGGCCTTGTAGTAATTGCCAGTTGTTTTCATCAGAAACAGTACGTATCCCTTTAGAATTGGAAGAGACATTAGTGACCAGAAAAGGGAGGCCCAGGCAGATGACAGAACTTTGCCAGGACATGAATGTTCACAGGCAAGTGACAAGTCAGGAATCCAGTGTTCCTAACACTCAGTTTGCTCCTCTTTGCATTAAATGCATTTCTTGTCCTCGATTCCACTAATACCAGTAAATCACCGTATTTCAAGTAACTCTTCAGTAGAAGTATAGCATGCAAATATATTTAAAGAAATACAGTATTTCCCTTTTTTGCCAACATTCCTAGTAACCGTCAACACAAATATCTTGGGGATCAAAAGTGCCTGTGAGAACACCATTAGCATGCTCTCCAGCTCACTGTGTGAAGGTGGCTTTGGGGAACTGGTCACGCTAACCAGAAACATACCGTAGTCTCCCAACTGAAATAGACGGTCTTGACTTCTCAAGCCTTCCTCCAACTTTTTCCTCTGAGTGGATGTCTCTTCCTGTAATTTTGCGGCTAGAAACAAACATAAAAACTAGGCTTATAATTTTATGCTACTGAATAGGAAATAAAAAACGGAAACATATACCTATAGTCCATATTTTCATGCACCCAAAAGATGCGTGCTACTGACCCTGACAGTGACTCTGAGTGCCAGCCTCACGTGCCACTTGCAGCTGTTCCTCAAACACAGCCGTGTGTTTATGTATTGAAAACACATCTTGTCCAGTGCATCTCGGTACCAGGAACAGGTGTTTACAGGCTGCCATTGTCATATGAATCTTTTATGTCTCCTCTTTTCTTCCCACCCAGCAGGCAATAGGGTCCCTGCCAGATTTCCCAGCTATTCTCACGAGAGCACAGTGTGTTCTTAAATACTAGTTAAGGAAATTCATAATTGAAAGAATAAGCATATTTTATTTATTGATTTATTTATTTTTGATACAGAGTCTCACTATGTCGCCCTGGGTAGAGGGCCATGGCATCACAGCTCACAGCAATCTCCAACTCTAGGGCTTAAATGATTCTCTTGCCTCAGCCTCCCAAGTAGCTGGGACTACAGGCACCTGCCATAACTACTGGCAATTTTTTGTTGCAGTTGTCATTGTTGTTTAGCTGCCCCGGGCCAAGTTCAAACTTGCCACCCTCAGTGTATGTGGCTGGTGCTGTAATCACTGTGCTACGGGCGCCAAGCCAGAATAAGCATATTTTAAAACTCACCTCCCAGTTAACAGTGTTGCCCATACACTTATAATTTTTCAGACTCACTCTTTCAAATAGAATCACAAAGGTCACTCCCAAATCAATGAGGATCTATCTGTCCCTTTCCATAGGACTCCTTCCTTCTGGTATGTGGGTCATTACAAAAGTTTTGAGATACACAGAAATCAAGAAATACAAAATCCACATCATGGACAGAAACAAATAAAGTCCTCCCAGAACCATTGATAAGCCGAGTGAGGTGAAAAAATTGCACGGGTGAATCAGAAAGGACCCTGTCAACTATGTTTCTTGGAAGTGAAATAATGGACCATAACACAGTCTGTCTCAAAACTTTCATAGTGACCTACATAGCTCTCTGGGCTTGCTTCCAAGACATAATCACCCTGTGGTTGTCAGAAGCTCTGAAGGCGACAGTCCCCATGTGATCAACCAGAAGACAGTTCTTAACCCAATCGTGTGAGAACACGGGACATTAAATAGGGGCTGAGACTCGTAAGCTGTTGGCTGAATTTTTTAAAAGTGATCTATGTGCTTCTGACTGTGTCAGCATTTAGCAGAATTGTCCCTTAATCTTTGGTTGGCCCCTATTTACAGAGGGAACTAGTTTTGAACATTTCATATATTCATCAAACTAGTGTCCACTTTACGTAGACCTGCTAATATTTTTGAGACTTGAGCCTTTTTATAGTATTATGTAGTAATAAAGTTCTGTTAATAGAGAAGACAGCATCTGTATGATGGTTTCCCTAACTAACACCGTATAATCTGAATCATTCCACCTCCTCCCAGCACTTCCCTAACTGGGGCCCTACCACTATGTCACATTTCCCATGTGGCTTCTCCACACGTTTCATCATCTTTTCCACATGTCAGTTGTCCTGACTCACCAACCATGTGACCGTGAATTGGGTTCTTCCTTTCCCTTCACGGTGCTTCAAACACAATCTCTGCTGCTGTCCAATTTTTCTGCTTGGAATATAAAGAGTGGCAGAAAGGAAGCAATCTGGGCTTCAAAGGGATGTGTCAATATCTACTCTTCATTTTTCTACTCTAAAATAAAGTTCCGTGAAAAGTTAAGCAAATAGGTATGCATCTACAAACCCAGTATGCTATGTCTACATACTCTTTGTAATCGACAGTGGCCTTCCAATTTAAGCTTGGTTCCAATCTCTTGGCCATTTGGCTTGTCCCAAAATTAATTTGGCTCTTCTCGCGTGGCTTTTTGTCTGATTTGGAAATAGCTTTTGTGTAGGTGGCTTCTTCCTCCTTCTGCTCCTCCTTGTTCACCTGATCCACTTCCTTTAGTTCTCCTACTTCTTCTTCTTCTTCTTCTTTGAAACTTATCGCCTTTATAAAAAAAGAAATAAAGAATTTTTTTTACAGTGATGTCATTTGTGAATCATCTAGTTCAGCGGTGGGGAACTCGCAGCCTTAAGACCTTTTGACTGAATCCAAATGTTACAGAATGCATCCTTTTTATTTTTATTAATACATTATTGCTGGCCTTTATATTTTTATTTTAGTTTTTAAATGATAATATTTACAATACCAAAGAATAAAATATATGTCAATGAAATAGTCCTCCCAGATTGACAGGCACAATTAGAACATTAGTTATCCATAAGGGTTAAATTGATGGCTGCTACGCTTGTGATTTAGTTCCAAATTCCCCCTCCTGACTGGCACCAGTACTACATGAGGTTGCTTGGAGAGATTATGAGGGTCAAGTACACCAGTCTCTTATCAACTTTTGACAATGCTACACTATGCTTCTGTGTACAGTGGAATTTGTGAATAGTTGCACAGCTCGACAGTTTTTTTTTTAAATTCTGTCTGTGCAACAACTCATCATGGCAAAGAAGACTCAAAAAGAACACTGAAGGAAGGGAACAGACTTTTTTTTTTTTTTTTTTAGAAACAGAGTCTCATTTTGTTACTCTTGGTAGAGTGCCATAGCGTCATAGCTCATAGCAACCTTCAGCTCTTGGGCTTAGGTGATTCTCTTGCCTCAGCCTCCCAAGTAGCTAGGACTACAGGCACCTACATAACGCCTGGCTATTTTTTGTTGCAGTTTGGCCAGGGCTGGGTTTGAACCTGCCACCCTCAGTATATGGGGCCAGCGCCCTACCCACTGAGCCACAGGGGCCACTGGAAACAGACTTTTTAATGAGGATTAGGGATTGCAATATCGTCTTGTTTCCACTAAAGATAGATGATTTTTTTGCTTTGTGATACAACAACATCAACATTAAAGAAATTCAATGCTCATCAGCATTGTGATACTCATAAGGACCACAGATATTTTAAATCAGAGGCAGAGACACGAATGGTTGTGTTGCAAAAGTAGAAAGATGAAAAGCAGAAGCAAAGACAATGCTTTCAAGCAGTCATAAGGCCTCGAAATAATCCCACAGAAGCCACTTACAAAGTAGCTTATATACTCAGGAAACAAAGGAAAGCCTTTCAGTGATGTAGATATTGTGGAAGAATGCATTGTCAAAGTTGTAGGATGCTTAGATCCCAATAACGTTTCAAAGTAAAAACCACTGCCTATTTCAAGGAGAACCATAAGTGATCAACATGATGAATTAGCTTTCAGCTTGACAGAACCACTTGATGCAATACTTCAAAAAGAAAATATATATTATTCAATCACTTTGGATGAATCTACTGAAACTATTGACTTGGCACAAGTCATAACAGAAGACTTCTTTACTGCAGAGAGTAACTCACTTTGGGCACTCTTGTGAAAAGAACACAGGAAATAGATATCTTCAACCACTTTCCAGATTAATGTTGTAAACTGGACTGAATTTGGTAAATTTAGTGTGTGTGTGTGTACAGAGAGTGCACCTTCCATGACAGGAAAACATAAAGGGTTTATTGCAGTGATCTCCAACCTTTTTGGCACCTGGAACCAGTTTCATGGAAGACAGTTTTTCTACAGAAGGGTGAGAGGTTGAGGGAGAGGATCTGACAGAAGACAGAGCTCAGGAAGACAAGTGGCTATAAATACAAATGAAACTTCCCTTGCTCCCCCACTGCACACCTTCCACTATGCAGCCTGGTTCCTATCAGGCCATGGACCCATACTGGTGCACCGCCCAGGAGGTGGGGACTGTAGGTCTATTGCACAGATACAAAAGTATTAACTGATACAGATACTCTCATTTCTTTTCACTGTACTTTGCATCAGTCGAATTTCTGTGCTAAAGCTACAATTTTAAGTGACACTTTGCAACAAGTATTGTTACTTGTATTCAGGCAAATGCAAAATGGCATGCTCAGTTTTGTCACATGCTGAAGTCGGATAATGAGGTATTCAGTGTGGATTTGCCATAGTTTGCCATTGCAGGGACAGGTGGTAGCCAAAGTTTCATCTCTTCGTAAATGGTAATTAAATTTTATGAAGAACAGAATCAGCAATGTGAATTATTGAAAGAAGATTTCTATAGGAATACATTATATCTGTGATATCATGTCAAATTAAAACAACTTGAATATATTTTTGCAAGGTAAAACTAAGTCTATATATAATAGGTGGCAAAAAAGATCCAAGCATTCTAAAAATGCTATCTCTTTTAAAAACACTTTTTTTTCCAAAAGAAATTTTGGATGAACATTTTCCCCAGTTAGCAAAAGCCACTGATGAGCAGGATGAGACATGCAAATCATATGAAGAATACATAGTTGTTATAGACCCATTATATTAATTGGAGAACACAATGAAAGGTTCACTGACTTTGAATCATGACATCACACTCAAACTAGCATTTCAGCCTTACCTGGTTGATATCACCAAGGCATCTAAAGAACTACAGATGGACTTGATTGAGCTCTTAGTAGACAACATTTTAAAGCCATTGTTTGATGCTAAAATAGAGCTAGTCAAAAACTCAGAACAATACCAGCAACATGCCCTCAAAAATGCTTCCCTGCTTTTTGACCATTTATTCCTGTGAATTTACATCCTCCCACCTAACCCAAATCAGGATGCCCTTAAGGTCACAAATGACTGACACCCATCTAGAGGATCAACGGAAACTGTGGACCTCCATGCTGCCACCAAATAGTCAAATGCTGGGTGGTGCCTGCGGCTCAAAGGAGTAGGGCGTGGCCCCATATACTGGAGGTGGCAGGTTCAAACCCAGCCCCAGCCAAAAACTGTACATAGTCAAACACTTTCCAACAAAAAGTAGACACAACAAAATAATTAAAAACATATCTAAATTTCAAATTAACAAAGAAGCTTCATTTTCTGAAATTACTGAGTACATAGTAGTTATATTTTTATAAAATGATGTACATTTTTCAGTATATCTAATTAAAGTTGCTTGAACGTGGCCTTATTTAATTACAGCTAAATTAATACATCTTTCCAACCTGAAAAGGTTCCCCATACTTCTGATCTAGTGCTCTCTGAAGATTAATACTGCTGATAAGTTCAGGAAAGGAAGTGTCAGACATATCTAAGTTGTGTTGCTTAGCTGTTGTGAATAAGGACAACTTCAAGACCAAGGCCTTTACTGGGGTTAGGCAGACAGTAAGTAATGTTTCCAAACTCAGTGGCTGCTGCTGCACACACAGATACAATGGCAGGGTTGGACCTATTCACTCCCACCTCTACAAACTTTGTATTGACTGCAACAGACCATGTTCAAACCAAGTCTTGAAGGCAGTCAGAGATAAAAGACCTATTACATACAGGTAATAAACATAAGAAGTTTTAAAGACTTCTCATCAAAAATGATGCCATTACTGGGCATTTACCCAGAAGAAAACAAAACCCTTTTATCATAAGGACATTTGCACCAGACTGTTTATTGCAGCTCAATTTATAATTGCTAAACTATGGAAACAACCTAAATGTCTACCAATCCAGGAATGGATTAACAAGCTGTGGGATATGTATACCATGGAATACTATTCAGCCACTAAAAAGATTACATCTTTTGTATTAACCTGGATGGAGCTGAAGCACATTCTTCTTAGGAAAGATGCTTAGTAAAGCATCACAAAGGCTTGGCGCCTGTGGCTCAACCGGCTAAGGCGCCAGCCACATACACCCAAGGTGGCGGGTTTGAATCCAGCCTGGGCCCGCCAAACAACAATGATGGCTGCAACCAAAAAATGGCCAGGCGTTGTGGCGGGCACCTGTAGTCCCAGCTACTTGGGAGGCTGAGGCAGGAGACTCGCTTGAGCCCAGGAGTTGGAGGTTGCTGTGAGCATGATGCCATGGCACTCTACCCAGGGGGGTAGCTTGAGGCTCCATCTCAAAAAAAAAGAATGGAGAAGCAAGAATCCAATGTACTCAATTCTGATATGAGGATTGATGCTAGTACATTGTGGGGGTGGGGAATGAGGGAGCCCAGAGAGGGAAGTAGGGGAGGTGGGGGTCACGGTGTGTGACACATTTCTTGGGGGAGGGACACAAGTATAAGATGGACTTTACCTAACAACTGCAAGCACTGTAACCTGGTTCTTTGTACCCTTGATGTTTCCCCAACAACAACAAAAAAATGATGTAAGCCAATACCAGGCATGGTGGGTGGCTTGGTAATCTCAGCACTTTAGGAGGCTGAGGCAGTAGGATCACATGAAGCTAGGAGTTTGAGACAAACCCAGGCAACATAGCAAGACCCTATCTTTATGAAAAATTAGCTGGGTGCAGTAGTAGGCACATGTACTCCCAACTACTTGGGATGCTAAGGAAAGAATATCACTCAAGCCCAGGAGTTTGAGGTTGCTGAGCTATGATGATTCCACTGCATTCTAGCCCAGACAACATGGTGAGACTGTGACCCACACAACAACAACAGCAAAAAGAAAAAAAAAAAAGGAAAGAAAAGAAGCAAACTAGAAGAGAGTGATATCTTTAAAAAAAACTGTCAACCCAAAATTCTATACTGAGATTTTTTTAAAAAACTTATAAAAATGAAGGCAAAATAAAGACTTTCATAGATGAACAAAGTAGAGAAATCACTGGCACAGACCTGTGCTAGAAGAAATGTTAAAATTCTTCACCTGGGAATAATACGTATACCAGACAGAAACATGGGTGTATACAAAGAAATGAAAAGCTGTAGAAATGGTAAAATTAAAGGACTTTTTAAATTATCTTTAATCACTTTAAAATATAATTGACTATTGAAAGCTAATATAGTAACAACGTTTAAAGGGGTTTATAGCATGAAAATAAAATGTATGAAAACAACAGTACTAAGGATGGGGAGAGGCATTAGAGATACACTGTTGTAAATTTCCTAAACTGTTTAAAAATTGTATAATTTTACTTAGAGGAAGACATGATAAATCAGAGTTATATATTATCAGCCTAAGGGGAGTAACAAAGGAGCTTTTAAAAAGAAGTATAAATGATAAGCAAATAGCATAAATAAAATGGAACCCTTTTTAAATGATCAATTAACTCAAAAGGAGCAGAAAAAAGGGGGAAATCACAGAACAGATGGGACAAATATTAAATAATTAGCCAGATAGGAAACTTAATTCAACTTCATCAGTCATATCAAGGGAAATTGGTTTAAAAACCTCAATTAAAAGAGAAATTGTCAAATTGGATAAAAAAGGAAAACCTAACTATTTTTAGTCTGAAGAGATTATGTATAAAGATGTAAATATATTAGAAGTAAGAGGCTAGGAAAAAAAGAATTCATGCAAACAATAATCAAAAGAAGACAGGAGTAGCAACATTAAAATCAGACAACATAAACTCCAAAACAAATATTATTATCACAGATAAAGAGGGATGTGCATAATGATAAAAAATTAGCACAGTCCTAGCACTCTGGGAGGATGACTTGAGTAGAATGCCTGAGCTCGGGAGTTTGAGACAAGCCTGAGCAAAGCAAGATCTTGTTTCTACTGAAAATAGAAAAACTAGCTGAGCATTGTGGTGGGCACCTATAGTCCCAGCTACTCAGGAGGCTGAGAGAAAGGATCACTTGAGCCCAAGAGTTTGAGGTTGCTATGAGCTATGATGCCAGGGCACTCTACCTATGGCAACAGATTGAGACTCTGTCTCAAAAGAAAAAAAAAAAAAAAAGAATTAGCATGCATTGACTCTAAATGTGTATCCACCAGTGACATAACCTCAAAATACATGAAACAAAAAGAAAACTAAAAAGAAAGGTAAGTAAATCCACAATTAAGAGATTGCAAAACTCCTTTCTTAGTAATTAATACAAAAAAAGACAAAAAATCAACAAAGATATAGAAGACTTGAGCGAGACTATTAGTTAACTTGATTTAATTCACATTTATAGGACACATCAGTCAGCAACATCACATGCACAGTCTTCTCAAATGCACAAAAGGAAAAATTAACCAAAATAGACCATATATGGGGCCAAAAAATGAGTATTAACAAATGGAAAAGAACTGTTAGAAAATCATGTAAAATATCTTTTCTTAATGCACTGAAAATGACCTATAAAATAGTAAAAGATATCTGGAATAGCCTCAAATGTATTTATTTGAATAAAAACATCACATATCAAATATATGAAACACATTTTATGCAGTGCTTACAAAGAAATTCACAGCATAAAACTTTACAGTAAAATAAAGGTCTCAAATCAATGATGTACACTTCCAGCTTAAATAGGAACAAATTACAACAAAGGAAGCAAAAGGAGAGAAATCATAAAATCAAAAATATAACAGAAGGCAGACCAAAGATCAATAAAACTGATATGTTTCTATTCAGATTAGGAGAGAGAGAAGATATAAGTGGCCAATATTAGGAATGAAAGTGAGTTCATCAGAAAAAGAGCTTCTAGATTTTAAAGAATAATAATGGAATATTACCTATGATGCCAGTAAATTAGATAAGTTGGACAAAATGTACAAATTCCTTGAAAGACAAAAATTGTCAAAGATCAACAAGAAAGAGAAATCCAAATAGTTATACACCCATGAAAGAAATCAAATTGTCAATTTAAAATAACCCTTCCAGCAAAAAAAGCTCCAGGTATAGACGGCTTCACTAGTGAATTCCATCAAACACTTAAGAACTGAAACTCTACACAAAGAATTCTGGAAAGAAGAAAAGTAGTGAATACCTCCCATTCATTTTATGAGGACACATTACCCAGATACCAAAACCAAGGCCTTAAAAGATAACAGCCAGACCTTATTCTTCACAAATGTAGATGTAAAAATCCTCAGAAAATTGCCATAGGCAAAAAATTAACACAAAACAAATCAAAGTCTTAAACTTATGAGCTAAAACTATAAAATTCTTTGAGGAAAACACAGGGACAAATCTTCATGACCCTGGATTTGGCAATGATTTCTTAAATATCAGCCCCCAAACACAGGAAATAGAAAAAGTAGATAAGTTAGAATTCATCAAACATCTGTACATCAAAGGACGTTTTGAGAAAGTGAAAAGACAACACACAGACTGAGAGAAAACATTTGCAAATCTTCTGTCTGATAATGGGCTAGTGTCTGGAACATATAAAAACTATAACTCAACAATAAAAAAGACAATGCAATTTAAAATATAGGCAAAGGACTTGAATAGACATTTCTTCAAAGCAGGTATACAAATGGCCAACAAGCACAAGTGGATAGGCTTAACATTAATAATCATTACTGAAATGGAAATCAAAACCACAATGGGATGCACACGTACCACTTCACATTTAGAAGGACGTCTACAATGAAGCAACAAAACAGAAAAAGTGGTGAAGAAAGTGGAATTCCTGTACTTTGCTGGTGAGAATGTAAAATGGCACAGCCAGTGTGAGGAAAAACAAGTTGTCAATTCCTCCAAAAGTTAAATACAAATAACTATACGACCCTCAAATTCCAATTTGGGGTATACACCAAAAGGAATTGAGAACAGGATTTCAAACAGATATTTACCCACCAATATCTGTAGCAGCATTATTCACAACAGCCAAAAGATGGAAACAACCCAACTGTCCATCAACAGATGAATGGATAAACAGAAGAGTGAAAATATGTGTACACAAGAGTGAAATAGGACTCAGCCCCCAAAGGAATGCAATTCTGACACACATTATGACATGGAAAGACCTTGGAAACATTATGCTTCGTGAAAGAAGCCAGTCACCAAAGGACAGATACTGTGTGATCCCACTGATGGGACATATGGAAAATAGGCACTGAAAGAAACAGAAAGCAGATTAGGGTTTATCCATGACTCAGGGGGGAAGGAATTGGGGGTTATCGCTTAATAGGTGCAGAGTTTTAGTTTGGGGTGATGGAAAACATTTGGAAATAGACAACAATGGCAGTTTTACAATGTAGTAAATGTAATGAATGCCACTAAATCTGCCCAAAAAAGATTAAAATGGCAAATTTTATGTCTTATCTATCTATCTATCTATATTGTTTTTTTAAAGAAAAGCTGAGATCCAGGAATCCTGTGTTCAAACACCAGGAAAAAAGTCACAGAATGATGACACAAAGGAGGTCCAGGACAGGAATAGCAATAGTCTAGTAACAGAATGAGGTACCCCAGAAGCGGCAGGGCCAGAAAAGAGACGGATATTTTATTGGATTGAAACCTATGGGTCTGACACACACCTTCTTTTAATTTTATTTATTTGTTCATTTGTTTGTTCATGGATTTATTTATTTTAGGGACAGGTCTTGCTCTGTCACTCAGGATGGAATGCAGGGGCCACAATCGCAGCTCACAGCAGCCTCATACTTTTGGGTTTAAGCCATCCTCTTGCCCTAAGCAGCCGGGACTACAGGCACCACATACCACCACACCAAACTAATTTTTAAAAAAATTTTTTTAGCAATGGGGTCTTGCTATGTTGCCCAGGCAGGCCTCCAACTCCTGGCCTCCTGCAACCCTCTTGCCTCTGCCTCCCAAAGTGTTGGGATTACAGATGTAATCCCACAACACTCAGTTCCTTACTCACTCTGGAGAATCACCCTGGAGCTTACATTAGTATTTCTTGCCTAAATTGCATATCCTTTCTTATCACCATCCTCTTCAACCAAACTTTTGTTTCATAAAATGTTATATTGATTGATTTCTTTGTCCAACACTACTTCAAAAACCACACAAGATGCAAAAGAAGCACAGTTCTTGTGCACATACAGCTGGCGCACTCTTTAGGACAATCTGATTAGGCAGTAATCATGGGAAGCTCAGACAGGATAAAAAATAATCAAGACTTTTAGGCTTCATTCACAGGGATGGGTTTTCTGTTCTTATTCATAACCATTCAGAAGGGAAGATGAAAAAGTATTTGGCAAGCAATTTGAAGTATTATGACTGTTACCTAAAGAAAATCAGAAACATTTTTACAGTACCGTATTTACAACACATATTTTATATTGTGCAGTGAAAAGCACTACTAATCGAAAGCAGTGTCCAAAAATAGGTCAAATTACTGTATTATTTTTTCACCCTAGGAAGTTCTAGTTGAGTAACGTAATGAGTTCTAAAGAGATCATAAAACTTACCTGTTTAGATATATTTTCCGAAAACTTCGCTGACTTTTCTTTTAAAAATGTGACAAGGTCTTTGTAAATTTCACCTTTTCTCTCATAATCAATTTCTCCCTCTTCCTCTGTTTTACCCTTTGGGGAAAAAAAAAGTTCGGTGCTATGATTAATGTAACAGTAATGTAAAAAGCTGCTCAGCCCATCACAGCCTAAGCACACATAGCGTTTTCCTCTCTAAAAGATCCATACGGGAGACTACATTCCCCTTAACTGAGTGTTATGTCTCCTTCCTGTGTCCATTCATTCATTCATTCACTCATTCTTTCCTTCATTCAGCAGTTACTGAGTACCTCCCATGTGAGCTTAGGGCACTTGGCTCTTTCAGCAAAGTAAGAGCCTCCTCTCTCTGTTCTTCTCTGCTGTGCAAATGCATATGACTTCAAGAGCTTTGTCTGATGAAGTCATAGAAGGCCTCAATATTAGAATGTCACGTAGGAAATCCTATGGTCCTGTTTGTCACACTCTGCTTTTGTTCTATGTGGAGTATGGTTGCCATAGGCTCACTTACTAGGGTTCCAATCTCTATAGAACCACCTGTACCTCCACCCCTCTGTCTCATGCTCTTCCTTTTTGTGTCTTTCCTTTCCTCATTCCCTACCCCAGTTACCCTCATTCTCTCCCCTTATTATTCTCCCTTGACAGATTATAAATATTTACACCTATATCACATTACTGGACATACAAAGATGTATGACTATAGTGTGCTACATAAAACTACATAGAAGAGACACATATACATATAACGGTAGTCTGTTTTCAATTTTGTTGTAATTATTGAATAGCTATATGGTCCTTGTCTTTCACTTTTTAAAACTAAGAAAACTTGGATGTTTCCATATTAAATTGTAGGTGTGGGCATCACTGGTCTTTGATGGAAAGAAAGACTCCCATTCCCCTCTAGCAGGTCAAACAGCATCATTCCTTCTTCTTGTCTTTCATTTTCCAATTAGAGTTCGTTTTTCTAAAATATAAAGACAAACCCAAAGCAAATTATATTTGGGTTGTTTACCTCTTCTATGTAGAAATAACCTATAAGTAATGATAATAAGAAAAGCGCCAAAGGGCAAGTCAGAGAGGTGCCCACAGGGAATTAAGGAAGAGGTGCCAGCATTTTGGTACCAACCCAAGGCAAAAAGTTCCCAGGGATGGCTGAGTCCCCATGAAGCATCTAGAATTTGTAGACTTATTTGTAGAATTCTGTAGATTTCTGCAAATTCTATTCTATTCCAAATTGATGTTGAAGTTACTAAGGGCAGGAAGGTGCAGAGGTGAAGGCTAAACTCCTAGCTGTTCGGTGACTAGGGATGGCGCTAAGGAAGGTGTTTTAATCCAGAAGTCTCCGAAGGCTATGTGCTGTTTATCTCTCAGCTCAAAAACACCCACCCAGATTCCACCTTGTGCTACTAGGGCTGGGAGTCTGCAGAGCTGGGTTTCTCTCTTGTTCAGTCAGTAGAAAGCTAAAGGAAGCCTGCAAGGCTGGAAGAGGGAGGAGAGGCGTGCTCCTTCCTTCCTGTGGGCCCACTGTCCCAACAGCCCTGCACTCCTTGGTGGTATCAATTGGCTCCAGGAGCAGCAGTTGGTTCCAATTTCCAGGTTTGATTTTTTTACCCATGGTCCCAGCAACAGGCTTACCATGCCCCCTTAGAAATGTCATTATCCACCAACCACTGCTCCATCTTCAAAGGGCCGGGTCCCTGCTCTGCCAGCTCTGCAGGCTCCTCTCCTCTGAGCTCTGTCTGCACTCTGAGGGGACAGTCTGGATGTGGCCCCTGCCTAGAGGTCTGAGCCCCAGCTTCACAGGGCGCTTCCTCCCACTTTCTGCATTTGGATAAACTCCTCTGTGCCTTCCTCTGTCAGGAAGAAAGTTGCAGTCGTGACTTCTGTGTAACCACAAATGTTCCTTTCTTGCCCTTTCATTCCTTAAATTCCTGTGCAACTGTTCAGTGAATTGATTATGTTAGAGACTTTTAGTTTTATAAAGTGGAATGGCTCACTGTGAAACCCGTTTCTTAGAAGACTGGCTGAATGACCTCCAGTGAGGAATAATGGGCTAATTCCAAGGTCATTTTGGATTGGACCAGCAAACACACAGCACAGGAATCTGCCTCAGATCCGCCAGACAGTATTTCATCCTCTGTGGTCATCCAGACACAACCCTTGACACACGTCAGCCTTTACACAGACCTAGCTAAGAACTAAAGTCCACTGGCTTTGGTGATGCTTTTCAAAAATTACTTACACATCCGGGCAGTGCCTGTGGCTCAGTGGGTAGGGCACTGGCCCCATATACCAAGGGTGGCGAGTTTGACCCCAGTCTTGGCCAAACTGCAACAAAAAATAGCTGGGCATTGTGGTGGGTGCCTATAGTCCCAGCTACTTGGGAGGCTGAGGCAAGAGAATTGCTTAAGCCTAGGAGTTGGAGGTTGCTGTGAACTGTGATGCCACAGCACACTACCAAGGGCAACAGAATGAGACTGTGTCTCAAAAAAAAGCTACTTACACCATTTAAAAAGACTCCTTCTACACAACAAGTAATGCACAGGGTTTCCACATCGTGTGGTTTCACCATCACATAACAAATTTCGCCATAAATCTGTCTCCAAGGTGGGGCTCTACATCCATTTGAAAATTCATATTCTGAAACCAAGCATCAGACAATAAGTGTTCCTCACAAAAACTGTTGGTGGGACTGCAAACTAAAACAGCCTCTTTAGAAGGAAGTTCGGAGAATCCTTAAGGAACTCAATTAGATCCCATTTGATCCCACAATCCCGCTTCTAGGAATCTACCCAGAAGAAAAACATCATTTTATCATAAGGACATTTGCACTAGATTGTTTCTTGCAGCTCAATTTATAATCACCAAGATGTGGAAATAAGCTACATGCCCATCGACCCAGGAACAGATTAACAAGCTGTGGTATATCTACACCGTGGAATACTATTTAGCCATTAAAAAGATAGAGACTTCACATCTTTTGTATTAACATAAACAGAGTTAAAACACATTCTTCTTAGTAAAGGATCACAAGAATGGAGAAGCAAGAATCCAGTGTACTCAGTGCTAATATGAAGCCAGTAGATAATCTAATATACTCCTACATAAGAGAAATGGCTGGGGGGGGGGTGTGAGGGAACAAAGGACCAGGGAGAGGGGAGGAGGGAGGTGGATGTGTTCTCACTTAATGGACACAATGTTGGGATTTACAGCACACCTCTTGAGGGTGGGGTACAAATATAAGAGGGACTCTACCTAACAAATGCAAACATTGTAACCTAATTCTTCATACCCTAAAATTAACCTGAAACAATAATAATAAAAAATAATAAGAGTTATCTAACCTAGAGTTTTGTAAAATATATTTTGTTCAACAAAATAAATACTGTTGAAATCTGAAGTTTCTGTTTTCTCAAATTTTCAGTTCTAATGTGGTCAGCGAAAGCATTTTGAAAATACAATTATGAATGTGTAAATAACATAAAATGAATCTGAACAGATAGAAACCTGAGGTATATTCGATAGATTCCAGGACGGTTTCTTCTCCTTTTCCTGAGTAACGTTTGAGTAGGTCTATGTCCCTGGTAAAAGTCACCGGATTCAAACGTATTTCTCTGAAATAAATGTTTAAAACTTCAGCATAAGTTTTTTAAGACGGAATCTACAGGAGACACATGAACAGATTCCACTATCTCAGGGGAAATATCTTTTTTTATAATTAAAATTGCAGTTAATTTTAGCCATGTTATACTCTCATAATAACACTATTAAAAACATCAAGTAATTAGTGATCGTTTGTTTGATGTAACATTAAATATACTCCCTTAAATATTTACTTCTTTTCTTAATGATAATAATATAATACTACAAAATACCAGAAAAATGGACAATTGGGGGACTACACAAACTCTACATGGTATTTCCATTATAATTTAATAATTTACATGCTAGTCTTAAGTCCTCGAAAATAATAAGGCCATTGGATGTCTTCAGAATTGAATGAAATCCCACTAGACTGTGGCAGCAACGTCAACTGCAAATTTTTAATTTTTAGAAGTAGAGTAAATAAATCCCAATAAAATTACAATTTTATTCTAACAAAATGTAATGTTAAATTCATAGCAGTAACTTCCATACTTTATTTTTCTCATTTTTTCTAAAACTTGGAAAGAAACTTGTAAAACTGGTTTTCAAAGACTGATTGATTGATTGATTTCTTTCTTTCTTTTTTTTTTTTTTGAGACAGAGCCTCAAGCTGTCCCCCTGGGTAGAGTGCTGTGGCATCACACTCACAGCAACCTCCAACTCCTGGGCTCTAGCGAGTCTCCTGCCTCCGCCTCCCAAGTAGCTGGGACCACAGGCGCCCGCCACAACGCCCGGCTATTTTTTGGTTGCAGCCGTCATTGTTGTTTGGCGGGTCCGGGCTGGGGATTTGAACCTGCCACCTTAGGTGTACGTGGCTGGCGCCTTAGCCGGTTGAGCTATAGGCACCGAGCCTTTTTTTTTTTAAGACTCACAGTGAAATATGCTTTAGAGAATGGTTGAGTAGGTGAAGATCTAGTTCCTGGAGCAACATCGCAATCCTCATCTTAGCCTCACTTTCAGGATCATCATCTTCAGTAATTTTATCCAGAATATTTAATGAAATGGGGTCTCCTTTTGTTGCATTATAATCCGGACCCAGGATTTTTGCGACAGGGTCTCTGTTAGCTGACAAAATAAATACAGAAATAAAAAAATAAAACAAAATTATCCTCTTGTCTTCTAGTACAACAAACATTAAGACTTGCGAATCCTTCAAAGCTGACTCAGATGTGTTTCTTTCATTACGTCTTCTTTGACCCACCCAATGAGAATTAATCTCGACTTCTGAGGCTGCCTTATACTTAGGAACTTCTTTTAATCTCACAGGACGCTCTACTGTATATTGTAATTCATTTTCATGTGTCATCTTCCCCATAGGACAAAAGCCAAGACCTTCTCTCTCTTTTTATTGACTGTGGAGCATTGTTCTGAGTACACATTCAATTAATGTATTCAGAATTTATTCAAGGACAGAGAAATACAAATCTCCTTAGAAGAATCATCACTAGAACTATATGCACATGCGCGCACGAGCATATGTCATATATGTGCACGATATTCATAAATGCTTTCTTCCCAAAATAGCTTCCCTCAGCCCACAGACCCAGGGCCAGTCTTTCCCCACCTTTTCAAACTGCTTATATTCTCAGTGCCATTTGGTCTTAAAGTTGGAGAAACGTATGTAACCACTATTCACGTATATGCCAAAATTATAGCGAAACACTTATACATCAGCTTGTGATCATGGCTAACACAGATGTGAAAGTTGAACCTAGAGATACTGCAAACAGACTCTGGTAAGTGCCAAAAAGCAATGTAGTTGAAAATGAGGGAGAAAGGAGAAAAAAAAACAAAAAAACAAAAAACCTTGTTTAGAATAAAGAAATGGAAGACAGATGAAAATATATACGCGTTGGGACAAGGAGAGGGAAAAGCCTAGCAGACTAATTCAGAAAGCACGAAGGTAGTTGAGTGATAGAATCACTTCTCCAACAGGAAACGGGGGATGCCACCAGAAAATAGCACAGCCTTAGTGCTGAGGAGGACAGGACTGCACTAGGCGAAGGGTCAGCAGGGAAAAGAAGACCAAGGAGTCAACCACATACAGGACATCTCAACTTATCAACCTATGTCCGTTATCCCGTAAAGATTTATGAAAAGACATACTAGGTGAATTCCTGGGGAAGATGTAAACCTGACTGCCAAGTTGCCAGGTACCATGCAACTTGGACCTAAAACAAAGGGCTGTACCTAAACTCTTGCAGGAAGGGAAAAATGCAGCAAAGAATAAACATTTAACCACAGCAGATATACAGCACTATAGACAGTATTACGTCTGTCTACCAAGTTGAATTGAATGAACCATCGTGGACCTATTACCTATCTTCTCGAATTCTTTAAGACCTAATGAAGCAGAATAGGCAAGAGATTAAAAAGAGGTTGCTGTTCTGAGGTTGGCCTGTTTTTTGGGCTTTCTTTAAAGAGCAATCTTCCTTCCTCAAACAGAAATGGGCAGAACTCAGGTACTTTATGCCTGGGACCCACTGGTCCAAAAAAGCAAAATGTACACAACACATTGTTATTGATAATTACGTATTTCTACATATAGTATTTACGACACAATTATAGCAGGCAATCAATCCCATTCTTCTTTGTATGTTAGATGATTAGAGGAAAATAAGAGCATCTTTAATGAAGAGGAAAAATATTTCCTGCAGAGTTGAATGAATGTAACTATTAAAGGAAGCTATGAAGTCCACAGTAGAATATGGCTGAGAAAAAGGGAAAGGAAAATTATTAAGGGTCATCCTGGCTAAAGGAAGAGTCCACATTCATTTGAAAGGAACACATTTTCATCCATCATAGCACCATGCCAGGGAGAGGGTAGGTTCAGATGCTGGACCTTGCAGTCATCTCTTTTCCTGACGTGTACCTAATAGGTTACAGGCCACTGGGCTTTCCAGAAGCCAAGAAGGTTCTCTTTAAGCCATATGCTAAAATTAGAAACCTAGAAACTTACCGATGGTAAAATAGCAGGCATTTTAAAGCAGAAATTTGATATGAGCGTAACATTGTAGCCAAGGAAAATTAATTATATTTTCACGAAGTTGTACACATGACTTTGTAATCTTTCAGGTTGTAGAACTTTTTTTTTTTTTTCAAGAGACTAAAACATTGGATTTCCCCCTAGACTGTTTCTAAAAGTTCAAATCACAGGCTGCAGTATCAAGCTCACCTTCAATACACGCTTGTGCCTCCTTCAGGTTTGCGTCTTTGGCGATAAATAAAAAGTGTGACAGTTGCCCAAAGCTCCTAATTTTAATTTGTGGGATGGAGAGAAAGAGCAAAGGCTGTCCATTTTTGTCAACCTCTTCTGATTTGGCTGTGGTTTCACTAAAAAGTTAAAAGAAAAACAATTAAAAAAAAAAACTTGCTGTTACCTGCATGCCAGTAATAGTTAAATTGAAGACATTTAAATCAATTGTTCCTATGCTTCATTATAAAACACAGAAAATATCAATATCTCTGGTTAGAAGCTCATCTTTTTTCCCACTGGAACATTTAATTCTCTAACCTGTGAGCAATGGAGATTAGATGCATCCAGAAAGAAAACTGCAGGCAATTTCTTAAATTCACAATCAAACTCAAAGAATCGCACTTTTGGTTTTTGGTTTTTTAACAACATGTTGGTTTCAGACATCTTTTTAAAAAAATCACTGGGTCTGCAGGACCATTCATGCTTTGGGGATTTCTAATGTTATTTCATTCACAAAATCTTTACACCACAGTAATTAGTGGTTCCAACTCTTCTAGGCTACACCATATTTATGATGAAAAAAAAGCTATTAAAAAGGCAACTAAAGGCAAACGAGATCCTTTCTGTGGATTATTTTTCCCCTCTAAAGTCCCTGATTTGGTTTCCCATAAGGTAAAAAGGAGTTTTCCCTTTTTTTTTTTTGCAGTTGGTTTTGGCTGGGGCTGGGTTTGAACCCACCACCTCCAGTATACGGGGCCAGCACCCTACTTCTTTGAGCCACAGGCGCTGCCCCATAAGGAGTTTTCCTAAACAGGCTTTTCCTGATCAGTAATTATCCCCTAGATTCATGTTTCTGTCCATTTTAATGATTGTTTTTAGGTTGGCATTTAAAGAATATTATAATATTTTCATGGCAGTAATATTTTTATCACTTAGAACATTTACCAAAATTAAGCTTCTAAGTTTGCATGACATGATGATATCCCTGATAAAACTGTCCATATTTTAAGATCTGATCTGATCTATCTTAAATTCCAATGCAGATAAATAGATGTGAGAAGTTGCTAGGTCATCGGCAAGAGGAAATCTGATGGAGGCAACTTACTACTGACACTACTGTCACTAGAAATGAGAGCAACATAAGTGTTCATCAGTAAACGACTGATAAGCCCTGTGATATATACATACAATGCAATATTATTCATCATTAAAAGGAAGGAAATTGGGGCAGCACTTGTGGCTCAAAGGAGTAGGGTGCCAGCCCCATATGCCGGAGGTGGCGGGTTCAAGCCCTACCCCAGCCAAAAACTGAAAAATAAAATAAAATAAAATAACCAGAGTTTAAAAAAAAAAAAAAAAGGAAGGAAATCCTGGTACACAAATCTTGAACATAATCACTAGTGAAATAATCCAGACACAAAAGTCAAATAATATATTATTTTTCTTACCCACAATATCTAGAGTAGACAAATCTATAGAAACAAATACAATGGTGTTTTTCAGGGGGTCGGGACAGAAGCAATGGGAAGTATTATTGAAATGATATAGAGTGTCAGTTTTGCAAGATGAAAAGAGTTCTAGAGGAAAAAAATAAAACAAGAAATGAGAGGCTAGGAACTGTGGGAGGCAAAATAATGGTTCTGTGACTACATCACCCTACAGGGCAAAAGAGACTTTGCATCTCATCTCCCCCATGAGATGGGGAGACTATTCTGGGTATCTGGATGGGCCAAACTTAATCCCAAGTGTCCTGATAAGAGAGAGGCAGGAGATAAGAATCAGAAAAGGTGATGTGAGGATGGAGCTGCAGCCACAGTGGTGTGGCACCACTAGCCTTGGAATGTAGGGGACCTCTAGAAGCTGGAAGGAAAGAAGGAATCCTCCTTGAGCCTCCAGAAGGAACAGAGCCCTGCCCAAACCTGGACTGTAGCCCTGCAAGTTCATTTTAGATTCAATATATACCACCAACAAAAGATGAGTGCAAGTCATGTGAGCACCTCTCGTAATTGCAAAAGTCACTTGAGTATCATGTGACTTGAGTATTACAATTTTAATGCAGTTTTTTCCTTTCTTAAAATGTGTGTGCATGTTTTTGGCACTCTCTGTATCTCTACACTTGCCAGTGATATTCCTCATGTATAAAACACACATTTTCTCTAAAATTAAGCTTCTGAAGTCATTTCCTTAAGATTGAAGAATGTTCTTGAAGGCTTGTACCTAAAAGGTACTCATTGAAAGGGCTGCTCACTTATGCTAATTGGAAGATGACAGGTTAAGTTACGGGCTGATTAAATGTTCAATAAATATTGAGCTACTAAAAGGTGAAAGAGTTATACGGTCTAAAGAGAAACCAGAGTATTGGATCAATAAATTGTGGTATATGTACACCACGGAATACTATGCAGCAATAAAGAAAGATGGAGACTTTGCCTCCTTCATGTTTACATGGATGGAGTTGGAAAATATTCTTCTTAGCAAAATATCTCAAGAATGGAAGAAAAAGTATCCAATGTATTCAGCCCTACTATAAAACTAATTTATAGCTTTCACAGGAAAACTATAACCCAATTTTAGCCCAAGAATATGGGGAAAGGGGAGAGGGAGAGGAAGGGAGGAGGGAGGATGGTTGGAGGGAGGGTGATTGGTGGGATCACGCCTATGGTTCATCCCATAAGGGTACATGTGAATCTCTCTAAATGTAGACAACAAATGTCTTAACACAATAACTAAGAAAATGCCATGAAGACTATGTTAACCAGTTGGATGAAAGTATTTCAAACTGTATATAGAAACAGCACTCTGTACCCCATGATAGTATTAATGTACACAGCTATGATTTAATAAAAAATAAACAATGTTGATTCTTCCCCCACCCCCACCCCCCAAAAATAACAAAACAAAACAAAATATTGAGCTACTTACTCATCTCTGGAAAGTGAAAGTCCTGATGAGAAACTGGGTGGGAGGGCCTACAGGTGACACGTTTCACTGCCCCTGCTAGGTGACGCCTGCAACTCACCAGAGAACTAGGAAATGAAATCGAGGCTATGTAGAGGATGCTGCTGAAGTTATCTGTTTCCAGGCTCACGGTTTCTAACACCTGAAGAACGAGCTCTTGGAGAGAAAAACACTGTACTCAACCTTGCGAGGGTCAAGGATGGTGTGCAGTCATTGAAATGCACTGTCCTGATAGACTTCTAAACCAGAATTAGGGAAGGGGGCTAAAAATACTCACTTGGTACTATAATTAAAACAGGAAAATCTCTTTTTTCTTTAATCTCCAGTATTGAATTTATTGTCTTCTTACTCAATACATGTATAGCCCAATAGTTATGTAGGAAATAAGGATATAATTGAGAAACTACTTAGTCTTTTTCAGTGACAAAAAATAAAAAAAAAAAAAAGAGAGCTCAGTAACAAAATTTAGGGCCTCTGATTTTACTGTTGTGACACAGTAATCTTAGCAAAATACAATATTGTCTCATAAAATAGAACAGTTTTAAGGTTGATTGTAACCTTAGAGATCACGTAATTTAGCCTTTCATGATATTGACAGAAAATAAAGGCCAAAAAGGTATGAATTGAGCTTGAATTGTGTGTTACTGGAGGGAAGAGGGCCTTTGCTCAGGTGATCTGATTTCCCACCCATAGAATTCCAACGAGCATAAAATTTTGTCCCAGTACCTACACACCACTGGGATGCAGTAAAGTGAGATTCAAAACTGAAATACACACAATATTACAGCAGAGGTGATTTAAAAAACAGACTGTGTAGTTCTATCAGAGAAGGAAAGAACAAGTAATAACATTTTCACAACGTCATTCCAGATGCTCATCTAGTTTGTAAGTTTCTACATTATAAAGAATCAGTCTCGGCTCCAGGTATCACCAACAGGTGGTGTTACCATTGAGTGGTGTCAGTTGTCCCTAGTGGAGAGTGAATTTGGCTTCATTCTGAGGTCATGTAGGAAGATGATTAATCTCATCCTGTCTCGTAAGAACAGAAGCAATCACAAATAGTAATTCAGAAAAAGATCTAGGATTTCCATGAAAATGAAAGTAAAGCTGTTTCCCCCCAAAAACATTGAACGTGGAGAGGTGACATATATCATTACAAGATGAATATGTAGGCAATGATTGTAAAGAAAAAGATAAATCACGCAACATAAAAAAATACTGTGCTTATCTGTTCCATTAGTAATGAGTTGCCTAAAGGAGAGAAGATGGCTGATGAAATGAAAACTTTCCAGCGTGTGACGAAAGTATTAGCTGCAATATCAGATGTTGATTGCAGCCTAATTCAGAAAAAGGCAAAAACTTTTATTGACAGCTACAGAGAGTGCATTTGGAGACATGCAGCATCAAAGGTGAAGTAAGGCCACAGATAGAAATATATTCCTGGCAGTAGCTTCAGAGACCAACAAAAAGGGGTAGATTACCTGCTTCCACAGACTTGCCTTGTAAATAAAACTGATCTGTTTTGGAACAAGAGGCCTGAAAGAATGTATATTCAGAAGGAGAAACACCTGCCTTTCCTTTGGAACGTGTGAGGACACTCCTATTTGGTAGAAACACATCCAGGGACCCCAAGCTCAAATCCTTTGTGATGATTTTGGCCTTACACGTGGACACACAGACCTGAATCCTGTCTAGAAGGAGAGTAGCTTCCCTACTTTCAAAAAAATGTGCAAGTAAAAAATGCTCAGCAGCTAAGCCAGAAGGTGCATGTGAACCAAAGGGCAAAGAACGGGGCAGGTAGGATTGTCGCAACAATAAATTCCTCTGGCCATTGAGAGTATCTTTGGTTTATGTCACTTGTTATAATGTTAGGGGTAGCACATGTGACCATGGGTTGCTGAACTTTCTTCAATTTGGAGGATGGAATAAGAGGTTTGGTCAAGATCAGGAAGTGAAAGCATTTGATATTTTCCAATATAACCCAAATCTCAGCCACATTCTTTCCTTCTTCAAGGTAATCAATACCTATCTGGTTTATATTAGCACCACACAAGTGTGGATTCCTTCAAATACAACAGTGATATATCTCTCTCTCATCCCTTCCAATATGAAAGATATCATCAATAGGCCAGGCATGGGGGACTCACACCTGTAATCCCAACCCTCTGGGAGGCCAAGGCAGGTGCATCACCTGAGTTCAGGAATTCAAGACCAGCCTGAGCAAGAGTGAAACTTCGTCTCCACTAAAAACAGAAAAACTAGCCGGACATTGTGGTAAGCACCTGTAGTCCCTGACACTCAGGAGGCTGAGGCAAGAGGAGCCCTTGAGCCCAAGAGATTCAGGTTGTTGTAAGCAATGATGCCACCGCACTCTAACCAGGAAGACAGAGTGAAACTCTGTCTCAAAAAAATAAAAATCAATAACGGTCAGAAAGAAAAATGATGGGTAGAAAAATCAGGCTCAGCTTCCGGTCGCGGAGTGGCGGCTTACCCTGTGCGGGGCAAAATGGAGCTCGAGGCCATGAGCAGATATACCAGCCCAGTGAACCCAGCTGTCTTCCCTCATCTGACTGTGGTACTTTTGGCCATTGGCATGTTCTTCACCGCCTGGTTCTTCGTCTATGAGGTCACTTCTACCAAGTACACTCGAGATATCTACAAAGAGCTTCTCATCTCCTTGGTGGCCTCGCTCTTTATGGGCTTTGGAGTCCTCTTCTTGCTGCTCTGGGTCGGCATCTACGTGTGAGCTCCTGAGGGTACCACTCAGGCGGCTTCACTGAATCTCTGCTTTTGTAAATTAATTTTTTTTTTTTTTTTTTTTACTATTGCTGGAAGTGTCCCATCTGCTGCTCACAATAAAGGCAGATGTGTGACAGTCTTAAAAAAAAAAAAAAAAAGAAAAATCAGGCTCAGGAAAAGCTGCACAGTAGACGTAATAAAAGTACAAAAATTAAGGGGGTATTGTTTCAAAATACAGTGTTAACATGTCAAAACTGCTTAGGAGAGAACACTTACAACAATGGGACCCAGACATGCCATGCACAAACGGAAACAAAGCAAAAAGAAGTAAGAACAGAGAAGGAGAAACAGCGATACATTTGAGGAGTGTGTTACAGCTCCACCTACCTAGAGGGTAGATGTGATCATATTTTGTCCTTGGAACACAGAATTAGTACAGAGGCAAGAGACAGTATCTTATGTTGTCTTCTGCCATATGCTTTAAATCCAACCTGGCTAAAAGGAGTTACTATGTTTTTAAGTGGTTTTGCATGTAAGTTCATCTTTCAAAGGGCAGAGAAAAACACTTAGGTAGCACCAACACACAATGGGACAGTAGACAGGAAAGGACAAAGACATTGGGAGAAAGTGACCACTGATACAGTTAGAAATAAAATACAGCATTAAAAATTTTTTCAAAAACTTCAGAGTAAACTTCTTTGGTTCATAAGAACCAAAGAGGTCTTAAAGTGCAGTTCAAGAATAGTTCTGCAGGGTGGCGCTCATGCTCAGTGGGTAGAACGCTGGTCACAGACACCAAGGCTGGCAGGTTTGAACCCAGCCCCAGCCAGTTAAAACAACAATGACAACTGCAACAACAAAAATAGCTGGGCGTTGTGGTGGGCACCTGTAATCCCAGCCACTTGGGAGGCTAAAGCAAGAGAATTGCTTAAGCCCAAGAGTTGGAGGTTGCTGTGAGCCATGACGCCACAACACTCTACGTAGGTGACAACTTGAGCCTCTGTCTCAAAAAAAGAAAAAGAATGAGTTTGCAGTTCTAATCTTGAAGAAATGCTGATTTTATTCCCACAAATAATCCCCAAGAGAAACAAAAGAAAGGGCATCTATAGGAAGCTTTGGCTAGTTAGGGAACTGTTTTTCTTATGGTCGGACTTCAAAAGTTCCTATGTAGAACCAAAGAGGAATAGGGTGGTAATGAGAAGATGCCTGAGATGCAAAGGAAATTGAGGCTGGTCAAAAAGTTATTTATACACACCATTAATATCTGTTTATTTATTATGTAATTCTAATGCATAGTTGATTATACAATTATGTTTCTATAATTTGTGTAATCATATATTTTTAGCAATGTTCAAAAGACATCCAGTGATAGCTCACTATATGAGGTGGAAGTAGACTTCATTTGTTTTTTAATTTTTACATATACATGTGTTTACTAGGTTTCCACTTTTTGCCTTCACAAAATCAAAAAGGCTTAAAATTTAACAACAATAACAATGTTTTAAGAAAGGACTAGAAACAAAAACCTCGTAAAGAATGAACGAAGATAAATACATTCAGAAAAGAAATCAGACGATTGCTGCAATGAAGTATTAACCAATGATAATAATAGTTATGCAAAGAAAGTAACATTCACACTGTCAAGTAAGAGTATGTCTATTACAGAATGCTTTGATTCTGCGGTTCAGTATGGAGTCATCAATTAACTTCTTATTATTTTTGTCCCAAAGTCTGAGAATTCAAAAAATAGACAAAGAAGTAGAATTCTTTTTTAATCTCGGTTTTGGAAGGTTCTTATTTGAGGACAGCCCTAATCCTCAAGCAGTTTCTCCTGCCTATCAAGCAAACTTTACCACCCTCCCTGCAGCCACCCCGATAACTGAACAATTTAAATACCAAAAGAGATTTTGTCTATAGGAGAGGTCACAAAACCAGTGGTTCCTGGGTGGGAAGGCAGAAAGTAGAAACGAATGTGGGGAGTGTAGTGACCCGGCGCACGTGTCCTCTATCAAAAGAAATTTAAATTTAAATCTAAAAAAGCCATAGGTACCATGTTGGCCAAGAGTCACATTCTCAGATTTCACCTGAGTGCCTCTAGCTTGCAATTCTTGGTTTAAAGAATTCAGAGATTCAGAGAGGTTAAGCGACTTGCCCCCAAATCTGTAACCAATCAATTAAAATCCATATGATGAAGACATTACATCTTAGAAGCAAAGAACTACCTTACCTGACAATATAGCCTGATTCAAACGCTGAGGGAGCCAAACTTGTTTTCCATTCAAGCGGCTCCACAAAAACAAATTTTGCCTCTTTGGGATACTTGTAGATAAAACTCTCCACAAACATAATAATTTCTTTCAATATCGCTTCATTGAGAGGGGAAATTTCTAGGGTTGCGGCGCCGTAATTGGCAGCCGACCACTGCGCCAGTTTCGACAGAGCCGCGCCCATCGGATCCGTCACCGCTCCGGTCTGAGTTTATCACACCTGGCACATTGGAGAAGGAAGACAAAGAGACGATGACATCTTACTTTTCTCTTGGAGATTTTCCTTTTTGAGATTTTAAACTAGGGCTCCTCAACCCACATTCTGCTTAGTAATCTTAAAAGATTGACTTTTTCTAATTGCTCTTCAGTTTGATAAAGTACTTAACCATCACTAGGCAAAGCTGAGACTAGTATTTAAAGATTCTCCAATATCTATCTGCCTGCCCTAAAATTAATAACTTGTTTCTATTTCCCCCAGGCCTAAGAGAGAGAATTCAAAAGGGCTGGGCATAATCCCCAAACAAAAAACTCCTAGAGTGAAAAAAAGAATTGCAGGAGGTTGCTATCAAGGGCTTTGGTTCACAGATCTGCCAATGGCAGAAGGTTTAAGGGAAGAAAGTTCATCTGTGCTAGGCCACACATCTTTTAGAATTATGCAATTAAATGTAATTCCATTAGGCTAGGTAGGGTGGCTCACATCTATAATCCTAGCTCTGTGGGAGGCTCAGGTGGGTGGATTGCTTGAGCTCAGGAGTTCTAGACCAGCCTGCGCAAGAGAGAGACACCACCTCTACTAAAAATAGAAAAAAATATATAAAAAACTAGCCGGGTAGGTGGCGCCTGTAGCTCAAAGGGGTAGGGTGCAGGCCCCCTATGTTGGAGGTGGCGGGTTCAAACCCAGCCGCCGCCAAAAACTGCAAAAAAAAAAAAGAAATCTAGCCAGGTATTGTGGCAGGTGCCTGCAGTCCCAGCTACTGAGTGGGAAGGCTGAGGCAAGTGGATCACTTGAGCCCAATAGTCTGAGCTTGTTGTGAGCTATGATGACAGGGCACTCTAGCCTGGGGCCACTGAGTGAAACTCTGTCTCCAAAAAAAAAGAAAATGGAATTCTATCACCCTAACTTTCTTATAATCACAATATCTGCATCAGTACAATGATGACTGACAAACTAAACACTGAGAACTTTTAGGAGTTCCCAAGTGCCTTCTGAGTTAAAACAAACCAAAAAAATATATAGAATGAGAATGTTATCGTAAAATATAATTTTAATTTTTTCCAAAAATTGGCATGGGACACATTAATCCCCTTACCAGAATATTTGAGCAATCTAAACACTGTATTCCCTGCCCCTATACCCTGCTCAGAATAATATTTTATCATTATTCACAACTTTCTTAAGAGTAAATGTGATTGGTGTGCTCCCACAAGGTAGGGGTGTATGGCACGTCTTTTGGGTTTGGGACACAACTTCAAGAGGGACTCTACCTAATAAAGTCAAATATTGTGACCTGGTTGTTTATACCCTCACATGAACCTGAAATTAAAAAATAATAATAAATGAATATGTGAATAAATAAAACAGGTGATCATGGTGACTCAAAAGAAAAAACAGAGGGTAAATGTGAGAGGTGTACGAACACATGAAAGTCTTTCTAGCCTGTTTATCTAAATGAGTTATCTCACGACTCACAGTAAAATTTAAAACAGAAATTCAAATGAAACAAATTTCACTTTGGCTAAGTGGAACTGAGTCTCTAAAAGGAGATCTTTATTGACCCATTCATGGATCAATGGGCACTTTGAAACTAATTTATAGCTTTCATATGAAAGCTATAACCCAATTATAGCCCAAGAGTATGGGGAAAGGGGAGGGGGGAGGATGGGTGGAGGGAGAGTAATCAGTAGGACCACACCTACGGTTCATTCTACAAGGGTACATGTGAATCTTTCTAAATGTAGAATATAAATGTCTTAACACAATAACTAAGAAAATGCCATGAAGGCTATGTTAACCAGTTTGGTGAAAATATTTCAAATTGTACATAAAACCAGCACACTGTACCCCATGACTGCATTAATGTATATAGCTATGATTTAATAAAAAAATAAAATAAAAGCAGATCTTTAAAGAAGATAACATTATCTGCAACGTTAAACAAGTGGCAAGTTAGAAAACAAGTTCTGATGATTCATACTGAACATTCAAGGCTTTCTTTTTTTCAGATAATCTGTACCTATTGGGCATAACAATGAATATCAAAAACCTTTCTTCCAGAATATTAAAAGAATGGGTATGAATTAAATAAATAAATTGAATTAAATAAATAAATTAAATAGAACATATAAATAGCTCCTTTTCTCCCATAATTATTGTAATACAAGTACAAAAGTTTTACAGGAATGATTTAGGGATTTGACTTTCTTCTGTATGAAATCCTGAAATCCAATAATAGGGACATCTAGATCACTGACTCTCAATGGGGTAGTATTTCCCACTGAGAAACAGAGAAATATTATAGAGACATCTAGTTGTCAAAATGATAGGAAGAAAATACTTCTGGCATTTAGGGATGAAGGCCAAGGATATAAGATGTTCTGTGCAGAATAATACCCCAGAGAAAAGAATTCAGCTGTAATCTTCAAGTATCTGGTAAGTAACAAAAACTGCAGATAAATCATATTTGGGCCTAGGAGTTTTTTTCACTTTACAAAAATCAATATTAAAGTGTTTTTCACAGTTTTAATAAGCTCTGAATTTTCCAGCATGGTAAGTCCCAGATCAATGAAAAGAAGGTTGCACAGAGTATACAAGTATATTTTGAGTTACATGAAACTTTACTAAGATCTCAGCATTTTGGAAAACGACACCACTGATAGCAATATTATTCACAAAATTTTAGTTATACCAGCCTGCATTTGGAGATGCTATAGGGACAGAAAGTCCATGTAAATAAGGCCGCACCTGTGAGTACTTCCTAAAATAAGTCTGGTATCCTGGTATCTGAGCACTTACATGCTGGTGTTTTATTTTAGTACAATTATTTTCCTTTCATTTTCCTTCATTTTACTTCGATAGCACTATCAATATTTAAAAACTATATTAAATATGCAGGATTCTTATCTATAATCTGGATTTGAAGACAGTAAAGTGGCATCACAAAATATTTGTTTTATAAAAACAACGTACCCCATCAGAGAAGGTTGAGAACAACTGGTCTAGACAGACAGAAAAGTGCTGGGGAAGCCAAATGTATAAATGAGTGCACAGATTTGTTCTGTGCATTTTAGTGTCCCATCATTTTGTTTCTATTGCTAACTGATGAAAACTGCTTTAGATTCCGACACATAAACGTACACCAATGTGTATACTCTTTGGTTTCCCAGTATTTTGAGAATAAGTGTTAACCACGGGTAAGTGCAAACAGCTTTATTTTAGACAGAAAGGCTTAGGTGGACCGTTCTATTTTTAATCTTAAGCATAACATTTGTTTTGGCAATTGTATAAAGACAGCGTATACATCATTTCTGCCTTGGACCTTTTTAAAAGAAAAAATCTGAACTTGACATAGATTGCGTAAGATTGTGGCAGTCTAACCATACACAGGAGGGACTTCTTAGAAGACCCTTAAAAGGGAGCTAAGAAGTGCAAAAAGTTCTTACCTTCATTTTAATCAATCTTTACAGAAATGTCAATGTAACTTACATTTGAATCTATTCAAATTATTTTTCTGAATCTAATAAGCCAGGAGCCAAAGGAATGGACAGGTTGGTTAGCAGAAGGCCTAAATCAGAGTACCTCAGGGGAGCCTACGACAATCCAAAAAGCAGGTACAGTATTATTTTGGCCTAACCACCGCGGTTACAATGAATCCATATAAATACACAGTGCATACTTTTGAATTAAAGAAAAGAAGTTTCAAGATTAAGAGGAAAAAAGTGTTTGTGTATGTATTCGTTTACATAAACTGGGTTATCGCTTAGGGTTTGTTTTTCTCTACTGAGCCAATTAGATATAATAGAATTTGTTTTTCTTTCTCGGGGTCATTTTCAAATTTCCAGCATCCCTAATAAAATGAAACCCACTAGCAAATGGTTTCTGTAACACACCAGCTGAAGCAAAAGAGAATTCTTTAGGAGGCTGCGGAAATGCAGGCGGCCACGCTGAGATCCGTAGGTAAACATCCATCCGCGTCCGCGGCATTCTGAGAATGAAGTTGCTCAGGAAGACTTAGTAGAAGATTAAACTTTTAGAACTGGCACGAACCGGGCCCAGAGTAAAACCAAACCCAAACCCTGTGTGAAGACGCGGGACGGCGGCACCCACCAGACACGTTAGGAGAGGGAGGCGTCAGGGCTGGAGATGAGGTGGGTACCTGGGAGAGGTAGCGAGAGGGAGCCAAGATCAGATTAAGAACAGAAGGCCAAGGTGTAAGGGCAGAGGAGACAAAGATAAGGGGGGCAGAGACGCAGGGAAGCTACGGGAAGAGTGGAAAGCCCGGATCCCGGATAGGAAGGAGCCAGAGCTGGTGGAGAGGGGCGCGGTGTGGGGGGCGGAGGAGCGGGAGGTCCCCAGGGTCTCCGCGGGGAGGAAGAAGCTAGATCGTGCGGATCTCAGCGCCCAGGAGAAGACAGGAGCACAGCGAGAGAAGGAGCCGCGGGCCAGCGAGCGGCTTCGCTGTCTGGGTCACTCCGGACACCTGCGCAGCAGCCAGCGCGGCACACTCACCTGCAGCACCCGCTCCGCGTCCTCGTCGCCCGCGCGGGCCTGTTGCTAGGACGCGGGTAAACACCAGCTGGTGCCGCCAGCTCTCTCCGATCCCGCCTTCGGCCGTCCCGTGCGCGGCCACTCTTCCTAGTAGTCCCCCAGCTCCAGTGAACCGCCGCTCGGAATCCCCGCGCTCCGGGCGCTCTGCGCGCGCGCTCGTTGCCACCCGCACTCGGCGGCTCGCTGCAAGTCCTTTCCCGGGACACACTTCCATTCAACCCCTCTTGCTGGAGAACGTGAGCGCGCATCGCACACCCTTTACCTTAATTGCCTTAATTAAGGGCGTGAGCTATTCCAGCGGTTTAGCGACAAATTAAAAATAGAACAGAGAGCCAATAGGGGAAAATCGTTGGAAACAATGTTTTTGCGTATACTCCACGGGATTCCAGACAAGTGTGTTCTGTCTTACATCTTCACTG